GGATGTGGAAACTGAAAATTCCAGGAGTTTCGAATAAGCCATATGTCTGCTTTCCCCATTGTCTCAGATAATGTAGTAGGTCTTCCTGACAAGGATAAAAAAAAGAAAAGGTGGATGTCACAAGATAATTACATTAGGTTATTTTCTGAAAGGGTTTATAATAATGTAGGCAAAAATATAGGCAAAGTGTCTGTGCTTTGAAAAATATATACATATATTCATCTATAGACATAATTTAATGTATTATTTATTTTGCCCATGTATATTTATAAGAAAGGCAAAGTAGTAGGATAATTGTGAGGTTAAGTTACATCTCTAATGTCACATCAGTATACTCACAATCACAAACAATTATTAAAATAAGCCATAGAGAATTAAACATCAATTTCTTTTCTTTTTAAAGCTTCAGTAGTAGCATATGGACATTTAAACAACTCTTTGAGCTTCATAGTCAATTAATTCCACTGTACACATAAAAATAATTTTCTAAAAATTGTCTAGTTTACACAATTCATTAAGCTAATTATTTTGTCTTTGGTTCTTCAAGTGAACTGTGGACTATGTTGTGAGTATGGTTGAAACCCTTGTACTCTTTTAGATTCAAGTTAAGATCTTAATAATACTATCTTTAAGTAAATATATTTGTAAATTATAGCTAGAAATTTTTGAGAAATTATTGAAATAAAAATTTGTACTCAACCTTAATCTGTCTTATATTTTTTTAATAAAGAGACATAGTTTGAAAAAAACTATGTAGATATAACAGCCTTCACACTTCAACAAGATGATTGGACTTTAATGAATGGTTTCCAATTCTTTAATGAAAGAGTATAAAAACATTAGAAATTTCAAATTACCTTTAATGATTTATGCATCTGAGATACAGACATTCCTTCTCTCTATCGTGAAGGAAACCTTCTGGTAACATGGGAACATCTTTTGATTTCTAAATAAGAAAACCAGACTTTACAAGAAAAAATAATCTCTACAGTTACATAGATAGTTGTAGAAAAGTGTGTAACTATTCATTCCAAATCTAAGCATTCAGTAAGATGTTATTTGATGGGTTTTACTGTTTTTAAGATGTAAAACACTGTATAGTTAAACAGATGTGTAATTGCTTAAAGTCTAAGGGGCACTAATACATAGGTTTATGATTTCCTTGGGTGTACTGTGTGAGTGAGGGCCACAGGGTTTTAACTGACCCTGTAATTTAAGCTTTTCTATAATACTTGTGAGATTGATAGATCATCTTGTATTTTTGTTTTATAAATTCACTGACCAAAATCCCACTACCCTGACTTTATGGCTTTATGTAAGCTCTGCTTCAAAGACACAAATAAGTTACAGATTGAAAAAAAAAATACTTACCTAGAACTTCACTATAAAACTGATCCCACTTCTTCATGTCATACATTTGGAAACAAAAGTCAAAATAAAGCATATAGATCATATTTTTTACCCTCTCCATGAAAGTCATTTGATCACTTAATTCTGACATAACAACAGGTACATAGGAGGGAGGGAAAAGAAATCCTCCACAATGCTTTTCAAAACCGTAGCCAGGAGTGAAGCGGAGACTGTACACAAGGGGTATGTTAAATAGCTCAGCCAGCAGCTCACTACAGGGAAAAATAGGATCTGCAAAAACGACGTCAAACCTTGACGCTTGTAGTTTCTTCATTAATTTCTTATTTGAAACCACATCTTTACAGAAGTCTCTAAATATGTCACCAAACTTCCACATGATTTCTTGCATTTGTGAAAAATATAACCAAAATGTATCTTTTGGAAGTTCTATCCATCTCTTAATCTCTTGCGTGACTATATTCTCAAACTCAGGTTTAGGTAAAGATGTAGGAAAAACTTCAATTTTAAGAGTGGATGAGTTGTTGGGATCAAAAAGAATGGAAGCTGAAGATGCCAGTGCAGTCACCTCATGACCTCTCTGGACAAGCTCTTCCAGGATTGTCTTCATATTCATCCAATGGCTATACTCTGCTGCCCACACCAGCACCTTTCCACAACTCCCAGAGCTAAAGTAAAAGCTCAGTTGTATTAGCAGAATTACTGAAGTCCATTTCACAGACATCCTGGTGCAATGCAATGCTTGTTTTCCACTTGCTGTTCCTTTCTGTCATTTCTCATGGTTATATCCAAAGGTAAATTAGCCAAGAAGTTAAAATGTAACCCTTATACTTCAAAGTACCTACAATATCATTAAATCAACAGTCCGAGCATGTGGATGGCAAGGAGACAAATGAAGGTAAACGAACTGTTTACACGGATGTGATTAATTTCCCTTTTATGTTTCTGAGTGCTATCCTTCAGCTAATATCAAGGATCTTGTATGGACATACCATCCATCTTATGCAATATATTTTAGAAGAGTGTCCAGAATTGTAGCAGTGAAAGGTCATGTTTCTGCAGTCCATTTGACACAAAACTAAAGATAAAATGACTAAACATGGTCCACATATTTTGTATATCTTGTTGACATATAATTTAAATATCATACAATTTTTAAATTATTGTGTAAAATTTAATGTTTCATAGTAATTCACAGAATTGTGTGTCTACCACAAGAATCAATTTGAGAGCCCTTTTATCTCCCCAAAATAAGCCCTATAGCCTTTAGCCTTTTCCTCTCCACCTCTAGTTTCTGCATTTCCCCTGTCCTGGGTAATTGCTAATTGCATTTCTATCTCTATATATTTGCCTATTCTGGACGATTTTTAATACATGCAATCATACAATATGTGGTATTTCATGCGTGGTTTCTTTTATGTAACATAACATTTTAAATGTTCATTTATGATATAGCATATACATGTTGATTCTTACAACCATCATGCAAGATATTGAGAGTGTGAAGATGACACTATCTTTATAAACTTTGTTAAGGTAATCAAAGATAAACAGAGAAAAAGAGAAAAGTAAATCAAGCTTGTAGTACATTCAGCATTAATCATTAGGTTAGCTTGTTCTCTGACTCACTTCCTTGTAGTTATTTGGCTATTGTCCTATAATTATGCAGATCCTATTACAAGATTATAGTTCCTCTTGTCTCTTCTGCAGATAATAGCTTAAACATTATGAAATGATCAACTTTCCTTCTAAGGTATTCCTTCAGGTCCAGCACACTGATAAAACTACTGACTCAGCAGGTCTGAAGGACCTCACTGATGCCAGCTAATCTGAGGGACTTCACTGATGCCAGGTAATCTAGAGGACCCCACAAGGAACTGACTCAGCAAATAATGTCATTTCTTGTTCTGATATCTTTGTCCCTATTATTCTGATTAATCAATTACCCTGACTAATTAATTACCCAAATTTTCCAGTCCATCACCGTGTATGATCTCCTTAAAACCTCCAGTCCAGCACTCCTTGAGGAGCTGGATTTGAGATTCTCTTCTCATCTCCTTGCTCAGTGCCCTGCAATTATTAAACTCCTTCTTTGCTGCCAAACCTGACGTCTCAGTGTAATTGGACTACTATTGGACAGTAAGCATATGAACCTGTTGGTCCTATAACAAAACTTCAATGGAATAAGTAACTGCAAATATAATAAAACTAGACAGATACCTATAATTAGAAGTGGAACTTAATGATGTAACAGAAATGATGAAATCTCATGATAAAACAAATAAGTGAGGAGTTACTTCTTAGAGAAGAGCAAGAAACTTATTTCTTGAGATGGAATCTACTCCTGGTGAAGATGCTATGAACATTGTTGAATGACAACAGAAGATATGAAATATTACTTAAACTTACTTTATAGAGCAGTATTAGAGTTTGAGAGGATTGATTTCAATTTTGAAAGAAGATCCTCTGTGGGTAAAATGCTATCTGACAACATTGAATGCTGAAAAAAATCTTTTGTGAAAGGGTAGGTTAATGTATGTGGCAAATACCATTGTTGTCTAATTTTTAGGATATTGCCACAGCCATGCCAACTACTAGCAGCTACCACCATAATAAGTCATCAACCATCAACATTGATGCAAGACTCTCCGTCAAGAAAAGTTGCACTCACTGAAGATTCAGATGATCATTAGCACTCTTTAGCAATTAAATGTCTTTTAATTAAAGCATGCACTTTGTAGACTTAATATTGTCACAGACTGAATACACTACAGCATTATCTAAGCATAACTTTTTCTATGCCTTAGAAACCAAAGCAAATTGTGGGGCTCACTTCATTGCAATATTTGCGTTATTGTAGTATTCGAGAACCAAATCTGCAACATCTCAGAAGTGTGCCTTGTATTAGTGAAAACACTTAATATGGGATAAACACTAAAATATGTATTTCAGATGAAGGGGTTCTGTTTACTCACCTCTTCTGTTTCTCTTTATGAGAATCATGCACATTACCTACTCTCAGTCAGTCATCTTGGCCACATACATTAACCCACCCTTTCACAAAAGATTTTTTTAAAGTTTCTAATTCACACAAAACACAAACATACACACACTTTCTGTCATTCCACACAAAACCCAAAGTTACCAGGTGGTTTTGGAAAATAAATATTTTACATCAATTTACCTGTGTGGACCCTCACTAATTAGCTGATAATACATTGAATCGCTATAATATAAGACTCTTTTGATGTGACTCACATGAATAATACAGGATGTTTAGAGTTCCAGAGAAAAAACACAAGTACTTCTTTATGAGATAATTAGAAAAACTTAACGAGGCAGGTAACATATGATATAAAATGAAAGTTTTGATTGCACCTAGGCAGTGTGTGACCAAGAAGGGATTTTCCAATAAAGAACAGAAAGAGTAAAGGTCATGGACATATGAGGAGCATCCCAATGTGTATGGATACAGAGAAAGTTGAGGGCAGGAGTTTACAAAAGACAGTTAATTTGGAACGAAGATGTTAGACAGTCTTACTTATCACACTATGGATTTGGATTTTAATACACCACCAAAATTTACTTACACAACTTTTAAAGAATGACAGTTATGAATCAAGATTTCCCTTTAGCAAGCAACTGTGTCAACTAATATTGGCATGTAAAGTCAAGACCTTAAAATTAGAAAGGATTATTAACAATGTGCATTTGTAACCAAAACAGGAGATCATAATAGCCTGATGTGGTTTGGCTGTGTCCCCACCAACATCTCATCTTGAAGCGTAACTACCACAATTCCCACATGTTGTAGGAAGGACTTGATGGAGGTAATCGAATCGTGGGGATGAGTCTTTTCCATGCTATTTTCTTCATAGAAAATGTTTGCTTTAGATTTTGCTATTTGTTTTTGGATAGTTAGTTTTCTTTACTTTCTGCTTTTCTTCACGCCTCCTACGCTCCTTGATTTTATATATTAATTTATATTTAATTAAAAAAGAAAAAGACAGAAGTTACTTAGAATTTATGTTCAATGTTGAATTTTGTTCATCTTTATGCCTTTTGTCACATACTTTTTTTAAATGGGAAACCTATAAGAAAATATTGCATTTGAAAACATAGGAATACATAGATGCTCCAATTTTATAAGCAAAACAAATTTCACAATCCTAATTAGCATACTTGCTTTTATTGAGTTTTATGAAATTTAATTAACCATTAAATTTCTAAAAACTCCTTGGATAGTGTATAAATAGTGCTACCTAAACAGTGGAAATCTAGAATTGCAATAAAAAGAAAGTAAAAATTAACTGATTGCCAGACTGTAACATCAAAATTGTAATTGCCTTTTAATTATAGAAAAGTTTAATTCATAATAAAGACTACATTAATCTAAGCTTCTACTTTCATGCCCAAGTACATTGGACGGAATTCTTATACAATAAGATATGTTGAAGAGATTCTTGGGCATAATTCTTCTTTAACTTTGTTATATCAGCCCTCCCTTTATATGTTCCTTGGAGTTAGCACACTTCAGCATTGTTTTTGTTTGTTTGTTTTTTGATTTGTTTTTTTTTTTCCTGGCTAACTTTTGAGTAGTCAGCACAGACCTTAAAATTTAAAATCTTGGGCGGGCACAGTGGTTCACGCCTGTAATCTTAGCACTTTGGGAGGTGGAGGCAGATGGATCATGAGGTCAGAGGATTGAGACCTTCCTGGCTAACATGGTGAAATCTCCTCTCTACCAAAAATACATAAAATTAGCCGGGCGTGGTGGTGGGCGCCAATAGTCCAAGCTACTAGGCTACTAAAAATACAAAAAAATTAGCTCTGCATGGTAGCAGATGCCTGTAATCCCAGCTACTCCAGAGGCTGAGGCAGGAGAATGCCCTGAACTAGAGAGGGTGGAGTTTGCAGTGAGCAAAGATCAGGCCACTGCAGTCCAGACTAGCCTACAGAGCGGGACTCCATCTTAAAAAAAAAAAAAAAAAAAAAAAAAAAAAAAAAAAAAAAAAAAAAAAGATTTAAATAACAAAATGTGAGATAGGAACTTAATACCTTAGTTTCATTTTGTCACAAACAAATGACAAGAAAGAGTAGTATTTCCAAAGTTACTTCAAGATTCATAGTCAAATGATTAGTTGAGCCCACATACACTACTATAATGCTTTAAAATATTTTATGTAGAAGTAGTGCCTGTTAATGCAAAGTAGAAAATGAGATTCAAATTCCAAATGGAAAGTCACATTTTCTTCACTGTGTAAATGGCTGCTTATAAGTATTAGAGGTTGTACTAACCTTCTGTGAAATCTGGGCCAAGTCTGAAGCAATGAGATCAGCCTTCTCTTCTGTAAGGTTTTGCACAACTGGTCCCAGAGAAAACACCACAGTGCCATCTTTACCAGAGATATGGACAAATTTTTTCATTTCCTACAAAGAAAATAATTTCTGCATCATAAAGATACAATGTCATGTAGAATAATATAGGGGGTAAAAATCTGAAGAAGTTTCCATATGTATAGTTATATTGTCCCTGTATTCTGCCATATACTTCCAGTCTCTGCCAGAAAGTTTGTGTTAGAAACACATGGCTTCAATACATAGTAATTATTTACCAGAAACAGTACCCAACCAAATAATTATACAGAACACTTAAGTAATAAATATATAGCTCTTTTAATATTTGGTAGATATCTAATTTTTAAATCATAATGGTTTGAAAACTCATAAAAATATTCCTTAAGGATTGATGTCAGAAAAATGATGAAATAATGCCCCCAAAATTAATTCCCACACAAAAATACAGCTAGTAACTATGCAAATACAAAAAGCCACACTGAATTCACCAGAGCTAAAAAGAGAAGAAGAAAAGCCCAAGACTCATAGACATGGGAAAACTCATTATCTGTAAGAAGAATAATTCTTTTGGATTATGACACCCCTTCCACACACCAAGAAGACAGCACTGTGAGAGAACTTTATCTGAAGTTACCAAGATCAGAGTAGGAAATGTGAGGGGAATGTTCAGTTTCTTCATGGATCTGTGATTCTTTTTGGTAAGCCCATTTTTGTCCTACCCCAGGAGAGGCATTAGGAGCGGCTAGGGGGTTGAATGACCTGGGGTGAACTGGAAATGAGAGTGGGAGTACTAATCACACTGACATGCACACAGATCTCAGCAACTGCTTGGCATTCCTATTAGCAGGAATGCCACACTGCAGAGTTTGACCAGTACCATAATACTGCAGGGGCCAAAATCCAAAAGAAGGTCTGAATCTTTGGCACGTATTTTTTACAATTCTCAGGTCCTCATAAGGAGCTTTTCTATGACCTGTAAACAAGTATAACATTTGAGATTAAGTTTCCGTTATTGCTTAAGTCTCTCCAAGACCTAGAAATCAC